GAAGGTCCGGAGTTCGAATCCAGAGACCCTGCACTCGAACCCGACATACTTACAAATGGGCTTTTTTCCAAAAACACCAGCACCCTGAGAATTTATATGATCTCTGCTGTTACGAACAAAAAAAAAAAAAAAAAAAAAAAATTCAATCCAATATTTTATAGTAAGCATATAAGTAAGTCAGTATAATGTAAATAAAAAAAAAAAAAAAAAGATTTTTTCATGCATAAATACATATTTTATTGGGATGTGGTAATTCTTAACATTCTTTTCAAATATTTTAGAATGCAAAGAAATTATGTTGTTGGGTAAATCATTAAAAAATATAAACGCCCAATAATTAACACTGTCATTTGAGTTAATCAATCTCATAGGCAATTTTTTATAATTATAATAAACGTTTATTAAAATTAAAAATATTAAGGTAATGTGAGTATTTTTAGACATTTAAACGCATTTCTGCAATCGGCATCATTGCTAATCCACAAATGATTTTTATTGCCTTTCTTGGACTGGAGAAAATTAATTTTAATGAAGCTGAGTGACCCCGTTCTAATATTGCTAAACTAATATGCGGTTTAAGTTCCAATTTTGCATTAATTAACGTTTTACCTTATAAACGACTATACAAACATATATTTGATATGGCGATTTTTGATTTTTTATACATTTTTTAAAACTTTTTATACGTAATTTTTTGTTTTTTCAAGTTTAATTCCAGACAATTTTGGGGGGCGTCAGTGGCCGCTAGCGTTGTCACGGCGCTCGTCACTGTAAGTTAAAGGTTCCGGGTTCGAATCCAGCGGTCCTGCATTCGAACCCGGCATATTTACAAATGTTTCTTTTTTTTTTAAGAACACCGGCACCCTGAGGGTTTATATGACCTCTGCTGTTGCGAATCCTTATAAAAAAAATTCTAGGAACTTATATATTTTTATTTATTTTGTAGATATATTTCTTTCGCTTGATTTAATTTATTCTTATCTACATATACTATTTAAAAGTATTTTTATAAATTTATTTTATGCTTTTGATACAAATTACCGTTTCATGAAAGCCGACATACTTAATTGGCTTTCTTTTCAAAAACACCGACACTCTGAGTTGCGAACCCTCGTAAAAAATAAAAATATAGTTAGTAAGTTTCCTGTTTGTTAAATTCTATTAATGGAAAAGTGGAACCGATGTTTAATGGATCAGTGAAGGGCATTGAATAATGATAAATTACGAGTTTTGTATTTAAGGAGAGTTGCTCGATATGTTCCACCTAATCGAAGGGTGCAATTCCTTGGCTCTGTATAGTAAGCGAGTAGGAATATCACCCGATATGAGATTGGGCTTCAGCACAGCAACAAGTATCTGATCCCCTGCTGGATTTATGGAAATGGTTGTTTTATTGTATATAGTAATTATTAGAACTGTGAAATATATGCATTTGCATATTTTTCCTGGTTAACTAAAACTTCCAGTTTTAACGAACTGTATATGTTCTGAAGTATTTGTAATCAATTTAAGCTATATTTATTTTGCATATTTGTACATATAGTCATAAATGCATATTTTTGAATAAGTGGGTTGTAATTGCATATTTTTTTACATATCCGGCATATCGGTATTTGGCACGTCAAATTTTAATGTTTCTGAATAGGTTTTAAAAATATCCGATAAAGAGCTGTGGGCTTCCATTTTCCCCACAAAATGAACGAGTTTGGTCAGCTGCTGCTCCACCGCTTTCCGCGAACTTTCGGTCGCCTTTGCTTCTCTTGGAATAAATGGAGAAGGAATAGTGTTTGTACCACTGTAAATGTCCTCTTGAAATAGTTTAATTGGATTCATGGAAAAATTACGACCTCAGTTATCTTCTTTCCCTAACATCATACTTCTCAGCTTTATACAGTCTCAGATGCGTTTTCCATCGTGAAACATTATTTTCTGTTATAAACTGACTATGCCTAAAATGCCGAAAGTCACTGCAAAAACGGAAGATCTTGTTCAAAAGTATGTACCTGAGTTTTCAAGTGAGACTTTTAAGGGCGATGCAGACTTTTATACTGTGTTTTTTGTGATAAACCTGTATCATCACCTACACGTTTTTTAGTAATACAGCACATAATGACAGCAAAACACAAGGAAAACAGAGGTAAGAAGTCTAAGTTTCAACAAATCTTTGTAGCACAAGCTGCCATAAGTGTTGGGTCTGAAAAGCGCGCTTTCAATACCGATTTATGTCGTGCTTAATTAGAGCTGACATACACATCCATAAACTAAGCCACATTGGGCGTCGGTTGCCGCAACGGTTTAGGTGTTGACACGGCGCACATCACCGTGAGGTAAAGGTCCCGGGTTCGAATCCAGCGTCCCTGCATTCGAACCAGACATACTTACAAATGGGCTTTTTTAAAAGGCCGCGGTAGCCGAGTGGTTAGCGTGAGAGACTCTCGTTCGTAGACGATCGTGGGTTCAATTCCCGCCGTCGCCTCTGCCCTTTTTTTCACGATACCGTTCCCCCCAAAACGAATACGCATGTTTTTATAAATCATCAGAGAAATAAACAGAATATATCTTTACAAAAGGACAATGAAAATCAAACACATAAACAAACATAATACAGAATAAACGTGCAGCATGAAAAAAACCGTATGTAAAAAATAATTTATAGAAAAGAGCGTAACTATTAAAAATTTACAAAGACAAGTTAATAAATCTAAAAATAATGTTAAGAAATGAAAAATTATAGGCTATGTTTTATTTAATTTGGATTTATAATTGATGATGATAAACCGCCAGTCATTATTCAGAGTTTTTGTTTACAAACCCACCCAATAAAATTCTGATGCAAGTCCTTTTATTGCATGTATTTGTAATCAAGAAACTAATCCTCTTTGCTTTATTACAAACGGTAAATTAATGGAGGAAGGTAAAAACGTGATTTTTATGTCTATTGTCCTGAATGATATTTTTTTTTATCATGGTTTATGTTCAGAGACAAGTGTAATTAAAATAGCTTCTAATTTCCACTGAAGGAAAGAATTCATTGAGACCATTCATTATCTTTTTATACTTATCTCATTGGTGATAAATCAAATAAAAAAAGAGAAAAAAAACCCCAGCCGGTTATTCAATTACGAATGAAAGAGCAGCTGTAATTTCAGAGAAAAAAACCCTGCTTCTGCCACCGAATAAATTTGTCAACCTATTTATATCCATTAACCTTTTAAATTGTATTACCGAAGGTGAACAAAACTTTAACTTTTTGATTTGGCACAAAATTGATTCTGGACAAAAAGGGTGTTGGAAATTCTATTATCCCAAATGCCGATGAGAATGAATTTTTTAGGCTTTGCTTCAAGGTAAGATTTCCAGGCTTAATACAATTAAGCTCGCCTCCACTTCAAATAGTCTTTGTATTCATTTAAGGTTACTGGCAAACTTCCTAATGGCTTTCTGTCAGATGAATTTAATAACTTAATTATTACAATTGAAGACTGGCCAGAAATAACTGAATAAAAAACCTAAAAAAGGCCGAAAAAACGCGGCGCCTTTAAAAAAAAAGTTATAATTTAAAGACGTGAAAAACCTCCCTTTGTGGAAGTAGTTTTTGAATATTTTGAAGTTGAAAGTTAATTTAATTTAAAATCGTTGAAAAATCGGGCGGGCGGACAAACTTTTAAGAATTCCCATTAGAGTGAGAGAGATAGCTAAAACTGAGAGGAAGATAGATAGATAATAAATTAAAAGGGAGGCTCCCTTTTCATGCAGTCCTGATAAAGGCAAATCAGTCGCCGTTCAGAAGATGGCCGGAGGGGGAGTTTCTGTTGAAATAAAACAAAAGCCGAAGGGAAGATGGGCCTCGGCTTTATTAGAATAAAAACCGGCTGCGGTGATTGGGGAAAGAATGGTCGTTGACTGACACCCTATGTAATTGGAACAAGATGGATGAAGACGGAGGAGTAGACGGAATAACCAATATCTTCAGGCTTTACCACGTGAAATATCGTGAAGGGTCTGAACCCATTCAATATTTCTAATCGCAAAAACCTTTCAGACAAGTGATTGCATAAAAAAGTCTTAATTTACTATTATTAAATTCTGAACTGCTTAAGGCCTATACACCTTTCCTAGAAAAACCTCTTCGTACAGAAATAATTTGCAATAAAAAATTTGTAGATGTTGTTTTATTGTAAAAGTTATAAAAAGTATAATAATGATTAAACAAGGAGGCGTCGTCAGGAAGTACTTACAAACGGACTTTTAATAAAAACCACCTTGAGGGCTGCAACGGTTTAGGCGATGACACGGCGCTCATCACTTGGAAGGTAAAAGTCCCGGGTTCGAATCCAGCGGCCCTGCATTCGAGCCCGACATACTTACAAATGGGATTTTTTTCAAAAACACCGGCACCCCGAGGGTTGATATGACCCTACGTGTGCCAACCTTCGTTAAAAAATCGAATTAAATTTTAAAAAATTAAACCAATACTTTAAAAATTGCTATGTTGTGCTGACAGACGCGTTAACATCAGTCAATAATGTTACTTATTTATTCGAATTAAACACACCATTTATTTCTTGTGCAATATATTCAGTTGATAATGCATTTCAGGCCACGTACCTGGTCTCTCTTTAGAGCCATAATATTATATTATAAACAGTTCTTGTATATTAATTTTTTTTAATGTAAGGTTTTGGTTGAAATGAAAAAGCCAGTGTCACGAGCGGGATTCGAACCCACGACCTTCGGCTCAATACGCCGCTAATCTAACCACTTGAGCTATCCTGACTTCGATCCACTCGGACACCAACTTCCCATCTCAACCTACTCAATTTTGTTCAGTTCAACCAAAATCGTACATAAAAAGATTAATTAATTGAAAGATATAATTTGGTCAATGGACCACTAAATATAATGGATTCTTGTATATGTTATTCAATTTCTTGATTTAAACTATTTTTTACACCAAATTAAGTCAAAAATAAAATTTAAAACAATTTCATTAATTGCAGATTATGATGAGGACGGTAGGGGCGGAGGTGAGAGCTGGAGAAGAGTCATTGTGTCGACCTTAACACTCCAAGAAATAAGCAGGTAAGGCTTATTACACCGTACATCAAATAAGCTCATGGTTGTCAGGAAGTGCTTACAAGTAAGTCAGCTTAACTGACCCTTTGAATCTGGCACGAATGATGATAAATTCAAACTAAATTGGACTTAATCCTTTGAGGAAAACCGTATAAGGTTGTGCAAGAGTGTGGTTATAAAAAAAATCTTGGATAAAAAATTTTCAAATTTAATGTATGAATGATAGAACTCTCGATATTTTAACAAAGTCTTGCCAATTAAAAAAAAATAAATAAAAATCAGGATGATAGGTAACTATCAAACAATACATAAGTTTACCAGTCTTTGTTGCTAATGATAAAAGATATAACGGTAATAATGCTGCTTAAGCTATGCTGAGCTTTGGTCTACCAGATTATTGACCCATAGGAAAATTTGGGTCTTATTATTGCCGGATATGGCCAACGGGTCATTTTCGATTTTAATCTACAAAATTTGCCTAGACTTTTTCTTGTAATCATTACTGATATTTAACTTTTGTCATTTCTTATCAAAGCTTATCCTTATGTATGTACCCGCTATGCAAATAATATTATATGTACATACAATTACTTGCATATTGGTTATTTTGATTAGAATAAAAATGGTTTCTTTTTAAAAAAATAGTTCCTACTCAAAGTAAGTTGTTTTGAACGATCCGGATTTCGAGCCTCCATCTCATCATCAGGTTGAAGGAGCTGTACAATAACGTCACTCGACATGAATTGTAAGACTGAACCCCCGGACCCCCGGGCATCACGACTTTCAAATGAGAAGCTGGTTATAACAATATAACACTATACAATATAATAATTATAACACAATTAAATAAGAAATTAATTATAAATTAGTGATTCTTTTATTTANCCAACAGGTTTGTTGTCACCTCTCGGCTGGCCAGCGCTAAACTGAACTTCTCGTCCGATCATCCTTATCGGAAGGTGGGGGTTATCTCTGATTGCGCCTTAAATATTCCTACAACTAACAAAAAGAAAAAAGAAAAAGAAAAAATCTGGAACTTTATGTTTACGGTGTTTATGAAAGTTATTTTCAAAGAAAGGTTGTCTTCTCAACAAAGTAACATTGAATTTTGTAGGATACAATTAGAAAATAATATTTTTCCTGATATTGCAAAGTACGTTTACATTTATATCTTATTGCACGCATTATTTAATATTAGATTGTCAAACATTAGATTATTTATTTGTTGATATTGATTAACAAGATGGTAATTATAACGATTATAAGAAAGGTAAATTCATTATTTCTACAACAAAGGAGAATGTGAAGGAAGTGGAATATAGAGGACATGTTCTTTGGAAACAGAAAGATAGTGCATGCTGCTGGAATGTATAATTTTTTATTCATTGTTATGTTTATCATTATTTAACTGTGCCTTGCTATTTGGTTTTAATTGGGTGATGTGAGCGTGTATTAAAATGTTAGGATCACTTACTAATTGAATCAAGTAAGAAACTTTGTTAAAAATTTGGGTCACTTTATAAGGGCCAGAGAATTTTTCACATAATGAAGAATTAATTTTCTTCCCTTTGTTAGACAAGATGTACGTCTTGCGGTAAACAATATCCCCAACTTTGGGTGTTATCGGATTCTCACTATTTTTGTATTTTGATAATCGCGTTTTATGTGCTTGTAGAAGGTTTTTGTAAGTTTCTTTCAAAAGTTCATTCATCTGATGCTGATTAAGTTGAGAAACATTATCTTCAATATTCAATTGGAGTGTGAGTGGATGTTGTAGTTCACGGCCTAGAAAAATTAATGATGGGGTATGTTGGGTTGTTTCGCCTTTGGCCGAATTCAATGCGCTAACAAAAATGAATAGATTTTCCTCCCATTTCCTTTGGCAATCGCTGTGATAGGCTCTGATGGCTTTTTTAATCCCAGAAATATAACGTTCTGCCATGTTCGCTTGTGGGTAATGAGTAATATTTCCTATGTAAGTGATAGCTAGGTCAAACAGAAAGTTTTTGTATGCCTGGGCCCGGAAGCAGGATTGCCTGTCAGAAATTATGAAAGTTGGTAATCCATGTTGAGAGAAAATACCCTTCAAGATTTTTATAACTGTACCCGTGGTAGTATTCCTACAAGGTACTGCGAATAAGAATTTGCTGAACGCATCCACCGCTACAAAGATAAATTTGTTTCCGCTTGTGGAGGTAGGTAAAGGTCCCACAAAATCAATATACATTTTCTCCATGGTTCGTGTTGGGGGTGTGCTATGCAATATCTTGTCGTATGGGTTGTTGTTTGGTTTTATTCTCATGCAAACCTCACACTGAGCTACTCTGCCCTTAATATCGTTATTTATTTTTGGATAAGTGAATAAAGTCTTAATGCGCCCTAAAGTTTTTGCTAAACCTTGATGTGCTCCATAAGTATTTGTATGGTAATATTGAAACAGAGGCGCTTTCATGCAGTGTGGTACTAGGAGTCTTTTAAGACTGTGGTCGTCTTTCGGCACATAGTAAATCAAATCTTGTATAATTCTCACATTCGGGTCGTTATCATTGATTTTTTTTGATATGTATGGATCGTCTCTTTGTGCTCGTCCGAAGTTGTCAAAGAAAGAAGGCAAGTTGTGCAATGGGGACGTGAAGAAAGCTCCATATAGGCTCTTATTGTCATCATCACTCTCTTCTTTTTCTTCTCTGTCGTTAGGCGAATCTGCGAATCTTGATAAATAATCTGCAACGCTATTATTCTTTCCTTTAACATGCTTCACATCAAATGAAAAGGAATCCAGCTCTGTGACCCATTTCACTGCCGGATTATGTAGAATCCTACCCCTGTCTCCTTTCAAGAATTGGACCAAACCACTGCAATCTGTGTAAAGAGTGAAAGGTTTATAGGTGAGATATTGCCGAAAACGTCTCAAACTGAGTATTACCCCATATAGTTCTTTTTTATAAGTAGAATAATTCCGTTCTGAACCCGTTAGCATTTTTGAAAAAAAGGCTATAGGTCGTACGCTGTTTTCACTATCTGCCTGTGCAAGGAGACTACCAATGGCGCAACTTGAAGCATCGCTATAAAGCAAAAAAGCATTGTTGTAATTAGGGGCTGCCAATAAGGGGGGTGATACTAAAAATTTTTTCAATGTATCGAACGCGTTTTGACATTCACGATCCCAAATTAATTCTTTGCTGTGTGATTTTAGTTTATGAAGTGGTGCCGCAATTTCGGAAAAATTAGGTATGAATCTTGCGAAGAAAGAACAAAGACCAAGAAATGACAAGGTCTGTTTTAACGTTTTAGGGGTTTGAAGATTTTTTATGGCTTCTATTCTATCCGGGTCAATAGCTATTGAATTAAACGATATTTCATGCCCCAAATATTTGACCGATTCTTGCAAGAATTTCATTTTTTGTGGCTTTAGTGTGAGTCCATTCTTTCTAAGTATCAATAAAACCTGTCTTATGTGTTGCAAATGTTGTTCTCTGGTCTGGGAATTCTTTGATAAGGCTGTTTACAATTGCATTTTGTTGTGAAAACATTTCCTTATTCGGTTTAACAACTTGTGTTTTATTCCGAATGACCTTGACCTGAAGAGGAGTTGTTAAATCTGTTTCAGAGGTGGGGCTGTTTGGGCTTAAGGTGTCGTTGGAGATATAGTTTGCACAGGATAAATGGCTTTGTTGATATACGTGTGATACGATTTGATTAGAATTCTCTTCCAAATTGTTATAGTTTAAGGAATGCATTTTATAAGTTTTCAAAGGGTTATTTATGAATGAAATTTCGTTATTACCTGCATCTAAAATTAAGCCTGTGTGAGTCATGAAATTATACCCCAGAAGCATAGGGATTGGCATGTCTCCTACAATTTGGAATTTTATTGGCCAGGATAAATTTTTAAATTTAATTTTAATTATGCCTTGGTTTTGTATTGTAAGCGCAGTTCCTGCAATTGAAACAACCTTATTTTTGTCGTCAGCCAAGCTCAAGGTTTTAATTAATTTCCTGCCGAGAAGATTTGCGCATTTTTGGGAAATGGCATTAATTGAGCTGCCCGAATCTAATAGTGCCGGAAGCTCAACTCTTCCGACTTTGACTATAATAAAGGGCAATCTTATGGCTTGATGTGGGATTGCTACATCTTGAGGAACTGCGTTGGCTATTAGTTTTTTGAAATTTTGTCGGTGTGAAGTGGTTTATGTGTATTTTCCGGATGATTGGTGGTGATAATTTGTTGAAGTTTTACTATATTTTCATTCAGTGTCGCAAAAGCCTGCTTGTCAAATTGTACAAATTTTTTATTTTTAATGTTTTGATAATTTCGATTTCTTGTGTAGCTTTCCTTTCTATTGGGATTTCCAAAGTTGGGATTTCTTCGATTATACCTTTGGCTATGGTTGTAACTTTTCGACGTATTATTGTATTGCTGTCGCTCTTGAGGACGATGGTTATTACTCCGTTGATAATTATTGCGCTGATTGATATTTTCTGGTGTTTTTCTATTGGAGTCGTGTCTATAATTATTATGCCTGTTCGAAAAGGTGGTGAGTGGTTGATGACGGTTGTTGAAATTTGGTGTATAATGTGCGTGATATGTATAAGGTCGTGGCCAAATTTGGAAATTTCTATTAGTGAATTGTGGTTTGTTGGGCTGAAAATGTTGAGGCATGTGAAAATTTGGCACAGTGTTTACAGTATGCATGTTTTGCGCAATTGAGAGCGAATTTTCATTTAGTCTTATTTCGACTTCTTTCACCTTGTTGTGTAATTGGACGTATGTATTAATGTTATCAAGGTATCCTAATAACAATAAATATTTTGGATGAATAGATGTTTTTAAATTTTGAATATTTGCATGTTCATTGAATTCCCCAAATAGTTTTAACATAATTATTTGCCTGTCTATGTATTCACGCAAATTTTCATTTAATTTCTGTGGATAGAAAAGATAGTCCATCTTAGTTTTTAAATATTGTTTTTGAGACATTCCATTGTTTAGCAACGACTGTGCG